GACCTTGAGGGCTGGGAGCGCCTTACTCTGCATTTGTTCTCAGGCAAATCCTCCTATTGATGCAGACGGAAAAGCCCCCTGAGTGATGTTGTTCCCATTGTGGGGCAGCTCCAGATGCTCGAGTCTTATCTACAATCTCAGGCATGTCCCTGGCAGAATTCCTTGGGACATCCTTCTTGCAGGCTCTTGTGAATAATCCAAACACTATGCATTTTAAGATTCATGTGTCATCTTAGGGACAATATACAGCATTTTTGTGCTATTGTTTTACTCTTAAAAGCCTGTGTTTATTTCATGGGTTGGTTCCAGGCTCTGCAGTTTCATGTGTGCGGAATCCAAGCAGACTGACAGCTTCCCGAACACCCAGGAGGGGTCTTGTCACCCCGGCTTCCTGAGTGCCCACCAGAGTTCCTGCGTGGAAGGGGCATTCCGTTGACACGGGCGGGACGGATTAGTGTTGGGTCTGTGACCACCACAGAGCACATGCCTGTCTTCTGGGGCTTCTTGTTAAAATTTATCAAAAAACAGTGGGTCTTGCCTTGCTGGAGGCAATTTAAAAGCAACGTGCATTTTGTTACACATGGGCTAGGGCGCAGCAGGTCCAGGTGTCCTGTTCTGCATGTTACACAGAACAAGCCTGCAGTTGACAGCAGCTTCCCCAAACAGAACATGCCATCTCACTTAGACATTAGAATGTAACTTTTGTTCACTATAAATGTTCTGAAAATACAGATGATTCTAAAGAGAAAGGAAGAAAAAAATGACAAAAAATTATCTACTATTAGTATTGTATGTATACACCTGCTGATATTTTTTTCTTTCCTTATTCATTTTTAACCTGATGGGTCTGGGCTATAATTCTCCTTCATGGCTTTTAACTCACTGGGTAGCATGTCAGAGAAGTCGTAATATCAGAGCGTCCGTCTCCTACATCGTTTTCCTGGACACTCTCCGTGATGATGGACATGGTATTGCAGGCCTCGTGGTATTGCAGGCCTCCACGCCAAGGACGAGGTAAGTTATGAGCCTCCACCGCCTCTTCTGTTCTCCACCACGTCACACGTCCTTGTTAGAGCTATGTTGTTCTCCTCCAGAGCCTTCGCCACTCCCCAGCTCCCTGACATCCTCCACGTGGAGAAGTTAACAAGAGCACGAAGATGAGAACTTGCAGAACTTTGAGAAAGTGGGAAGAGTTTCAGGACAAATAAACAACAGGGCTTCTTCGTTGTCGCAGTTCATTGGTGGTCTTTGGATCTTAATCCTCCTTTTATTTGGAGCAAAACACTGCAGACTTCTGAAGGGTTTGGGAGAATTCGTGGGTGATGGATGCCTGACGGATAACCGCAAGATAGAAAGGTGTAACTGATTCAGGGGCTGCTGCCCACAACTGCTGGGTGGGCTCCCTGGTCCAGGTTGGTGTCTCCTCAAGCCAGGGTAGGACAGGATGGGCCATTTGCAGATGGCCCCCTAACTGGTGACCTTGGGGGCCACTTTCCCTAAGGAAGAGTGGGATCTGGGTGTAAAGGTAGCCAGTCATGAGGCAGCTGGGCCCCAGGCTGAGGGTTTGGTGTCGGGTCGAGGAAGGATGAAGTCAACCATTTTCAGGTGGTTCCCCTAGGGTAACGTTCGGGAGGTGGCTTTTGCAGTGCAGTGTTTGATCAATAGATTTTCCCTGTGCCACCAGGAGCTGATCAAGTTGGCTTTAACTATCCCGAGACTCCCAGGTGTGGATGCTGTTCGTGCCATTCTAGACACCAGGACTTGCTCTCCTAGAAGATGCTGGGAATCAAGCATTTCTTCATTGGAAATGAGAAAGATAAGGCTGGGGACATAGTTCAGTGACAGAGGGCTTGCCAGGTGAGAGGGAGGCTCTGGGTTCTATCCCAAGCACCATTTAAAAAAAAAAAAAAGAAAGAAAGGAGAAAGGAAGATTGGATTTGCCTTTAAAAAAATTGGTTTAAAACTCATGAACCTAAAAGTCAATATTCTACGATCATTTTTTAGATTTTTATGCATTTTCAAAATTAGAATCAAACTGGCAGAATCTTTAGGAAATAAAAATTTCATCTGGTTTCTCTTTGTTGTGATCCAGGCAAACAAATTAGTCTCTAATAAAACAATATTCTCATTATTCAAAGAATAAGGACATATGTGTATATGATGCATAAATAAATAGGTAGATCATTGTGGAAGAACGGGATCTCCACAAACATGCTAGAGCTTCCGGCTGTCCAGGGCAAGCCAGGGAGGCAGGACCACGCACAGCTCCCTCCCAGGCTGCTCTGTTAGCCAAGGGGTCCTCTTGTTTAAGTTGGTGCTTGGTGAATCCTTAATGCAGCACTGCTATGGGAGACTACACGGAACACTAAACTGGTCCTCTTTAGAAGAGAACAAAAAGCAAGAAATCTTGGGGAAGCTAGAGAGGGTTTTTTTTTTTTTTCTTTTTTCTTTTTTCTTACTACTCCTGAATTCTAGTGGAAGCTTCCCAGATAAAACAACTCAGGACTTTGAAATTTTAGGGGAAACACAATTTTAATCGGCCTACCATCTCACTCATTGTTCAGAGATGAAAAGGGCGGAAATCGGCCTCCCTTCAACATGGAGGTGCTGAGAACTCACAGCTTCTGATTGCGACATAGAATGAGATTTCGTAGGATTTCTCCCTCAGGTCCTCAGGTTCTTACTTGTTTGCTTTTTCTTCTCTTTCCTTTCCTCTTGTCTCTCCCTTCTCTTTTCCTAATCTCCCTGTCCCTCCTCCTCCTCCTCCTGCTCCTCCACCTCCTGCCCTATCCTAACACAAGAGGGGGACCTGGGGTGGGGCTGAGGACATGGGAACCTTTCAGAACTAGAGAGGCGCAGGCTGGTGGAGAGCGTCCGCACGGGCCGGCCCGCAGCCTGAATGAAAGCAACTCCGAACCTCCACCTCTGAAGCCCAGAGTGGCCATTGACTCAGGTTCTGGTCTATTGTGCCCCTGGGTCCCCACTGAGACCACACCTCTTCACTGGTCCCACTTTTGTGTAGCTAGATCCAACACAAAATGTTGTTTCTTCCAGAGAACAAGTAATTTCCTGACAATGAGTAATTAAAGGCCTGGAATCCTCTAAGGAATGTGCGGGCTGCATGAGCTGTACTTCCTTGAGTGGAAAACAGCCGTGTGGCCCTGAACCTGCCGGGCCCGGAGCACTTAACGAGATCCTCACATGGCATCTCCTGGCAGGCCACGCTTGCCGGGCTGTTGTCCGCAGCCTTGCCGCTTGCCAGGGGACCTGCTCACAGACATTCTGAAATGTGGGCTGTATTTTCGTTGTTTGGATTTTAAATATTTGAAACCAAAACTTTGACAGGGTTATTTATTTATTTATTTTTCGTCTCTTGGTGACTTTGGGTTGAGAGCCTACATCTTTGACCCTTTACTTATTTATTTTGTGGAGCAGATCACCACTGTGTGTGTGTTTGGAAGGACAACATGAAATTAAGTAGCTCTGAAACACTCCGTTGAGGGACGGAGGATCACTTTAGCCGGCCAGTGGCCACCTAGGAATGTGAAGAGGGTCCCACCTGCAGAGTTGGCCTGCAGGGGAAACAGCTCAGGTCCTCCGTCCTACCTGAGTGGCACGTCCCGGGAGAAGTGGGCCGAGTGTCCTGGCACCCAGGTGGAGGGTGCCCTCCCCATGTGAAGCCATGCGGAGTCCTACCACATCTGTATCCTGCCTGGGTCCTGGTGCAGCGTGTCACGTGGAGCCATGCCGGTCACACCTGCTGTGGCAGACTCAGTCCCAGGCAATTGATGTCTTTTTTTTTTTTTAATTAAAAAAAAAAAATCTCCTGGCTGCATATCATCAAGAAAAACAACATTGTTTTCAGGGTCTCTTATCTCTCCACTCCCAAATATCCTGTTTCTTCGGGCTGGGCGGCCAGGACCAATAGAAACCTCTTCCTGCCATTGGCTGACTTCATTTCCCAGACTTAGCACAATCTCATCCGCTCTAAACAACCTCATCAAAACTACTTTCTGGTCAGAGAGAAGCAATAATTATTATTAACATTTATTAACGATCAATAAACTTGATTGCATTATGGCCAGCACTATCAAGGTAAGAGAGGGTCTTCCTTTTCGTTTGACAGAATCCTGTTCTTCTTGCGCTTTCTCTGGTTTCCTTTATCAGGGTAGATAAGTTAGGGTTGGGCAACACCCCCCCCTACCACAATAGAGGACAACAAGATTTCCTCTGCACTGCCTAGTAAATTTCCTTTTTCCTACTCCAACCATCCGCAAGGCTTAAAAACTTCAAACTCAGAAAAAAATTGGGGTTTCTAAATTCACTGTTGAGTGCTGTGGGTGACTTTTGCAAAGCTTTTTGGAGCGCTTCTGAATTTTTAGATTCTTTCTTGATTCCTCGCGGTGCCTGGTGGTGGTTCCGACTCCGGGCAAGAGTCGCCGAGGTTGGAGGGCAGGGGCAAAGGAAGAGATGGGCTTGACAGAGTTGAACTTTTTGGAAGCTCTTCAGGGACTCCTTAGCCCCAGGCATGCCAGCCAGTCCCCGTGGAAACGAAGAGATGCTCAGCAGGTGGCTGTGGGTAATGGGACACGCTGGTGTTGGCTTGGTTGGTGGGACCTCCGTGCCGAGGAGGCCAAGCGTTCCTTGGTGGTGGTAACTGGGTTTGTTGGGGACGTGTTTATGGTTAATAAAATTCCTACCCCTCTGTGCACTGTAAGATTTCTTCGGAGAGATGTTGGGTTTGTGGGGGTTGGGAAGCAAGGGGCTGCGGGTTCTCTGTGCTCTGGGTGTTTGGTCAGAAGTGTTCTCTTGCAGTGTTTCAGTGGATGGCATGTAGAGTTTAACCGGGAGCTAGACCCAGGTCGGTGGAAACCTGACGTGGTTCAACTCCTGGAAATGAAGTCAATGCAGTGCTTAGTGCCAGCGGCCAAGTCTGCGAGGCGGTGGGTCTGCTGGGGCATTTTCCAGGCGCCGGGCCTTGGTGACATTTGTAGAAATGAGAAAAATCAGCATCACCAGCAGATAAAGCAGGGAGACGAGGAACAGGGGCCCGCCCTGAGCTCTGCGGGGAGAGGTGAGGAGCCGCGGGCCGTGTCCGCGCAGGGTGTCAGTTAGCTGGAGAGCTCGTGGACATGGACGCTGGCCTGGAGTTGGGCCGAGGGGTTTCCCAGAATCCTCTTGGCTTGGTGTTTTTGTTGTTTGAAATGTTTGTTCTGGAGACTTGCTTAACACACCCCAAAAAATGTGTTTCAGGAGCTCTATTCCGTTTTATTACCCAAGTGTGTTCAATAATTCGTCTCTAAATTCATGTACCAAAGACTTTCTCGCCTTACAGAGATTTTTCTTCTATTGGAAATCAGTTATCACCAAAAAGAATTTTAAAGCTGGAGGTCTGAGGTGCTTCATCTTCAGTGAAACTTCAGTAGAAACTACTTGATTTTGCGGCCCAAAATGCTACCCTTTTGGTTTTTATTTTTACTCTTAATTACAGCCATACTTCATAACAGTCACATCAAATGCTTCGGTGTAAATCTTAAGTAGCTTGAGTAGAAGCCTCTATGTTCCCCTCCCTCAGTGCATTAAAAGGGACAGAAATAACTGACCATCCTTTAGGAGAGGGGACACTTTGAAAGCTGCACGGATGTGTTCGAGTGTTCAATTTAGAGTAAATTTTGACAAAGACATGAAGTTGTTTTGGAAGTTTGAATGCTTTATGATTCTCAGAATAAGTCTTGGGAAATAGTTCACGCTTCTATTTAATATTGATTTACTACTTTATTAAACTCAGTGCATGTGTAGTGTGTCTCTTAAGTGAACCTTTAAAAAGTGACTTCAAGTGAATTCTCTAAAAGCCCTTGGTTAAAAGCCTCTCTTCACAGGTAACTCCCAGAGGACTTGCCTCTGTGAGGCCTCCTGGGCAAGGTCAAGAGATGAGTTTTCAGCCCTGTTTACAGAGTGGAGAAAGCAGGTCTGGAGTCCTGGACTGCAGTGTTACTTACGTTAGTGCAAAGCTCCAGTTAGCACAGGGAAAATTACCGCTGCGGTGGAATTAGGAAACAGCCCCCGACACAGGCTCTTCCAGTCTTCTGGTGTGTGCACTGTTTTGGGTCGTTCTAGTAAATAAATCCATTAGCTGGTCAGGTGTCAGGCCCTGGGAATGTGTAAGGTTGGTACTCTGCATCTGGGTGGGATTTGTTTTCTTCACTGACATTTATAAAATCCCGTGAGGCACTTGGAAGAGGGAAAAAGTATTTGGCCCAGTCTTTGTGATTCCCATCATTCTCCCTTGGTGACTTGAGATCGGGAACAAAATATCTCAATTGGAAGAAGTGAAGGAACTTAGGAAGTTATGTTTATCTTTTTAAGGGTCCTTGGGTTTTAGGAAGAGACCCAGAGTTCTAGGGGAATTGCAGGCGAGCGACGGGGCTCATGCCTGTGTGCAGGCTGCTCACTCTTAGCCTTCGGGGCTCCCCTGGCCTCTGGTGCTGGACACCACCTGTCCCACCTTCACCACAGACCAGCTCTGTGTTTGCTTGCAGATTCTGGGAGACCTGCTCCTCTCCCCGTGACTCCGTGAGGTTCACTTTGGGGGGTTCATCCGACCCCCAGCCTTCCCTGGTACTGATTACCATTTAGGAAGTCTGGTGAAATCAGGAGCCTGACTCAGAAGAGTGCTTTTAAACACATCAAAGAAAATACTCAGAATACAATGGAAATCTCTTTTTATCCGTGGGTCCCCCGTGGGGGTCAGGAACCCCAGGTTGCAGCCCTGATCCTAGAGTTGAATCTTTAAAATGGGAGCTGGGGGGGTGCCCTTGTCACACAGGCCCAGCATGACTGGTGAGAGCAATGTTAGAGGAGAATCAGGCAGGATGTGGAAGCCACCGAGAGGCTTGCCCAAGGCCGAGGGACGGGGGCTCCGTGCCTGCTTCAGTGACTCCTAGAGAAAGGCGTTCGTTGAATCCACAGGGTTGGGAAGTTTGACGATGAAACATGAAGTGAAGGGAAATTGGTTTTATTAATTTGAAAACATCCAGCCAACTTTCTCGATGTCACACTGTGCACACAGCAGGCACCCAGAATAGCGCCACCCACATGAAGGAAGCTCATTAACATGGAGGGTGACAGGAAGGAGGGAATGTCCTCCTAGGATTCTGGTGGACGTGACTCAGGGTCTCAATAGCAATAAGCGTATATCTTCCACCCACCTGTTGGCTTGAAGGGATGTGACAGATTTTATTCCTTGGTACTCTGTGGGATTCGGTGATAGTGGAAAAAATGACAGTGCCAAGTGCTGTTGTCCTGCTGTGTAGATGTCACATCCCAGGGCTGGTCCTCATCTCCTGCTCTTGCCTCTAAATGTGCACTGATAGACTATCATGTTAAAATGACTTGCTATTGGTCCCTGGGCTGCTCCTGACCCCAGGCTGCCCTCTGTGGACACAGCTCACTTCCGCAGGCTCTCTGCTGGGCACATACCTGTGCACAAGGGTACTCAGCCACCCTTGGGGGGCAGAAGTGGGAAATCCAGGGCCTGAGGACCCTGGTCTCATTTAGTGCACCATAGGTCTGCTACTCTCTTAGAGAATGTTCCAAAATGGACCCATTTCTTCATTATCTACATCTTTTTTAAAATTTTTATTTTTTTTTAAAGTGTTAGTTCAATTACATTTTTGTTTTGCAAACAGACCTTTATTTAAGGGGGGGAAAGCCCACAAACACACATACACACACTTATGTCTCTTAAAAAAGCATACCTAAGAATGAAATCAAATTTTTAAAAACAACCATTTCTGACATCTTCAGGAAAATCATTTCTTCTGTATTGAGCACTCTGTGGTAAGTGGGGCCCAAGGCAGGACGGGTGGCTTGGGAGCTGGCAGGAAATTGAACAGCTGATGCTCAGGAGAATCAGATAGAAGAGGCCCCGGAGGCCAGACCTGAAAGCTTTCTGACAATTGATCTCGGTGAAGGCATTTTAGAGGAGGGTCTCTGGGCCTTGCCCGGCTGGCTGGCACACTCTGCTCTGTGGGACCTCTTCTTTAGAGCTGGGGACATCTTAAACGCTGTAGGAGCTGCCACCCTCCTCCTATCCTGACAGGATGGGGGAGAGCTGTCCCCTGCCCTGCCCCAGGGAGTGTGCCACAGCACCCCTGAAAGTCGATATCTTACTTGATATGGCCACAGACACACCTGCACTTGAATCCTCATTCATCTTGAGCCCCTGGGCAAGGTCCCTGACCTGTCTGAACTCAGTGTCCTCATCTGCAAAATGGAATGGCAGTGACTGTCCTGTCTTGTGCTGTGCGGGCTAATGTCTGTCATGCCTCTGTTTGGTGCTCAGTAAATGGAAGATGCCATCAGAAAACCCAGGGGATGTAGCCCTGCCAGTATGTCACCTTGTCCCTCTGTCCCTTTTCTTAATTCTGTGCCTGCTTTCCTTGTGTCCTGATGCTTCTTCAGGGACAGAGAGTAACAGGGTTGGGTCATTCTATGGGGCACTGCAGTGTCCTCCCACGTCTGCAGCAGGCACATCGAACCTGGGTGGCAATGAGTCTGGGCAGGGCAGGAGGAGAGAGCCGGCCAGGTCCTCCAATGGAGGTGCACTGGGGCAGATGTCCAGCACGGGACAGAGGAGTGTCCAGGTAGTCAGTCACTCAGGTGGTGCTGGTCAGCCACCACCTTCAGAGGCTTCCTCTTGCTCTGAATTTTTTTTGCTCTGTTTGTGCAGAGAGGCCAGAGGCCTGCCGTGACATTGTGCTCCTGGTGAGTGCAGGAAGAGGGACCCTGGAACATCTCCACGGTCCTATTTTCTTGTTAATTTTGAAAAAAATGCATCCTGTTGCTTTATGCAAACTTCCAACACGAAGCCTTCTCATTGTTGAGATGATAAGACACAATCAACCTAAATGGCCCCAGATCCAACGAGCAGAGAAAACGATGGTTGACACTTGGTGTGTCTTTGCTGCCTGCACCTGTCTGATTTGCTTCTTCCTTTTAACTCTGCTTTACAGACATTCCTCCAAATCTTGGAAGGGTTTTGATAGGCAGAATTTTATGTCGGGGAGAGAGCAGGAGGACATCTAAAAGGAGTATCAAAATTTTTATGACCATATCCTGCTGCAGGAAATAGTCCTGTTTTCAAATTTTCACTAATCATATTGCAATGTACCCTCTCTTCGATTTTTAAAAATTTATTTTGTTAGTATTGGTGCTTAGAAAAGAAACTATTGGGCCAAGAAGTATACATCTCTTTAATCTTTGCCAGATTCACGTATTTGCTGATTTCAAGATTATTTGCCAGTTCACTTCCTAGAAGGATTGTACCGATTCCCACTTTCTCTAGCTGTACGTCCAGTTCCACTGCACCCAGAACAACCCCGAGTGTTTTATTCTTTGCATCTTGTTCATTCTGGCAGGCAAGGATAGAAACTGGTTTCTATTTCTTTAACTTTACTGTTCTTACTGTTAATTTTACTTTCTTCTTCTTGTAGACCTGTTTCAACTAGTGGTCCACTGTGTCCTCCGATTTTGTTTCTATTTGTACTTTTGTTCCCTGTTTGGTCCAGTTTGCTTTCCATCTATTCCTCAAGTGTAAGATCAGCTTATTCTGTCCACTCTCTGACCCTCATTTTCTTTCCCGCCCTCCTCCTGCCGGCCTCACTTCATTTGGGAGAGTGAACACTTTCTGATCCCCACTGAAGTCCCGGGGACCTCCTCTCCAGAGGCATCCGTCCACTGTGTCTGGCTTCAGCAGGCCAGCTGTGGGCGTTCAGTAAGCATTAAATAAGTATTTACTGGAAAACATTAATGTTAGTTAAAATTCTCTGAAGTCATAAAGAGGAAGTTAAAGAGATCAGAGTAATACAATTGTGAATTTCAAATAGAATTCTCATTTCTTTAGAGAGAGTTCTTCTCATAAGTTAGAACAAATTAGGCTGAAACGAATATTTTAAAGAGCGTAAAACTGCTATCAAAGGAAGCTTAGCATCCTGACTTCGTCGACCAGGTTGGAGTTCTCCGGGTGCTGCCTGCTGGTGCCGGGCTCTCCTGCTCTCTCCCCGATTCTTGCAG